TGACAGAAATAACGTCTTCTCTTAGTTTGTTGGAATTTCAATACATCATACATCCGTTCTTGAAGCTCTCAAGGATAATTCTTTGCGCTGGTGGTTGCTTTCCCGTGTATTATCGCTTCTACCTCTGAGGTTTTTTCTCCACTGCATTCCTAGAAGTTGTTGAATATTCGCTAAATGGGTCCATAAGGTTTATTGTGAATAAATCGAATCAACTAATCATCCCAAATAGACACTCCTGGCGTATTATCCTCTTTGAAAAGTCCATTTGCAGATAGTAACTATTTCACTTTCATTTTTTTACAACCATTAACCATGAATTTTCATGCGTGGATTTTGACTGCTGTCTTTTGGCCCCCATTTGGAGCATAATGAGGATTGAAATGTTAGGAGCAAATTCAAAAGGAAAACAGAGGATTCATATAGACAGCAACCATTGTAAAATGGAGACAGCGGTCATTCTTGGACTGACCTCTCACTAGTCATTCGACGACGGTCCAAGAAATCAACTGAGTTTGTGCGGGTTATCTGAGGTGTTATGGTCAAGCATTTTATTATTTTTCTTTCCTAAGCCGTTTAGATTGTAAAATTTGTATTGTATGATACAGTTTCACAGTCATTTTATATTTATCTTTTGAATATGTTCACTGAGAAGCAAACTCCCAAATGCTGTTAGTTTATGAATTTCAGGATTTGGGAATTAGAGCTGAAACTGAAACAAGTCTGGTTTAAGTTTGCTATTTTACACCATCTGTTTACTTCTCACATATGTTCAATAATGCCCATTCTAGATGGTGGATCGATCGAAGTGAAGGGTTACGCGGACGCAATGAAAGCTTCCCCGGTTTTTGCAGAATTATCACAAATTCGTAATATTCGTCCAAGTTTTCATACTCTCCGCCTTGGAATGGCCGGAGTGATTTTGTATACGGGATCTGTGTGGTATTTATTTCGGGGCAGGGAACCTTGGNCTTTTTCACATGGTGGTAAGTGATCTTCACTCTTCTTTTCACTATAACGGCTCCATCAGCAACACAGTGCGTTCGAAATCATGCACAAACCAGTTTTTATTCTAGAAATAAATGCAGTATGATGTGGAAAATCCGTAGCCTAGGGAAATACTACACACAGTATTATGAAAGGAGAATTAACGCTAAAACCGGTTCGTCTACTCTGCGTTTCACCATGATGATGTTGAAGTGAAAACAGAGACCAAAAGGGTGTTCCACGGTTTGATTGTTCCACCCACAAATGAGCTAATATCTATAAATTACTTGTTAGGGTTGGGTTAGTGATGCATCATATGGCTTTATATTGAACCCACTCTCGGTGAGAAAGGACAGTAGATAGAGCTCCATCTCTTACGTGACTGCAGTATTGGAGTATCAATGTAATCTGAGCTTTGCAAAGTGGGAGTTAGTTGAAAGCGATGAAATGTCTGTCGCAGAAGAGAAATCTGTTGTTGCACACAGTCCGTGGGGTAGGCCAATAAATGGCGAGTAACCACGAGAATGTACGACATAAGGGTAGTCGAAGTAAGTTGCATATTACTATGATTATGCTTCAGTGGAAATTTAATATTGGTGAAGAAAGGAAGGAAGGAAGAAAGATCAACGTTAAAACGAAATGGTTATGGGTGGGTGTTTTAACCGACGTTGAAGGGAACGTGATGATAATAGCACCAGGTAGAAATAAGAACAGGATCAGAATCAGGAATGCTACCGCGGGAAGAGGATATGCTGTTGTTCATACTAGCGTTGGCTGAGTGGAAACAGTAGGACAACATGGGACAACATGGCCCTCAAAACCCTGGCTTCTTCGAGGGAAGCGAAGCCTCGTTCCCACCTCAAGGAATGCTCTCACGAACTGTTTCACAAAGCATTACGAAGGAAGTTTTACGCACTACTTTTTCGTGATTAGGGTGTATTCACTGAGCCGAGCGAACAAAAATCCAATATCTTGAAATATAATCTGATCAACTCCTTTCGTGTTGATAAATATGATACATCGAAACGTATTTGGAGCCTTTTCATGGTAGCATTTTCCTGTCCTCTCAATTTTGTTTACCGAACGTACTGCAGATTATAGTCGCTTAAGGGCAACTTTGTGGTGGAATTATCTACCGCCTTTGGAAACGTCTAGTTTTTCTCTCTCAATTGCATGCTACTCCTATCTAGGCAACCACTAAGTAGAACATTATGCGAAGCAGATGCCGAGCTCATTCACAGTTTTCATCACCTTCCACCATGAAACAGGATATTTTTGCCCCAAATCGAATGACGAACCTAGCCAACCAGATTCAGATTCACCACAAGGAACGAAAGAAATTAATTACTTTTAAATCAAAACAGTCAACCTTTTTGTTTAGACATTGATCGTTAGTCGCTCTAACAGAGAGGATTCGTGTCTGCGCGGAACTCTACTGCTTGTTTTCAGAATACCAACAATATGGAAATTCCATTAGACTCGAAGAATGAGAACATTACTCTGCATTATAAGAAGCGTTCACATTGCTTCTTTTAAAACTATTCTAGCTTGAAGTTTCACCTTAGCTTCACCGTTATCATCATTGTATGGCGAGATACAATGAAGCGAACTTCACTGATCGCTGCCAAGCTCACAATGTACACGAATCAAGTGATAAAGCACAAGATTAGGGGGGATATCTTCGGATCATGGGGGTTACCTCTGTNCCTCTGTTACTGTATTCAGTTTTGTGTAATAAAAAATGTGGCTCCGCTTGCATGAAGGAATTCAGCGTTCCCAAATAGTCGCACACAAGACACTTCTCACGATGGGCGGACTGTTTTGTCCAAGTCGTGTGTAAGCAGATCGAGTTTTAACTGTTCGCCAAGTGCCAAGACATAGTTACGTTGATCGTAGCTGGACAATATTCACGTTCCCGAACATCGCAGCAGCTTCGGTGGTTAGTAGAATTACACTCCGAAATTAGAAAGCTAAAATAAGTCGAGACCCCCCCCAAAAAAGTGAGTGAATTGAATCAAGTCCGTTGATCATGTTTCCATGTGTGATTCATCAATGTCTTAGTCAGGCTACACCATGAATAACCTCTCGCCCGTCACCCGTTTTAGCTCCGGATAACGCGCGAACTCTTCCAGCATCCAAGTGTAAACCAATTGTCTATCCCAAACCTGATGGAGTCCTTAGTTTTGACCTCCCCAGTTCCGTTCAACTCACGGGCACTAATCACGATCAGGATCAACCGGCACACCTAACACTCCTAGACGATACGGTCCCAGAAAAGATCAATCTTCCGATTTACGATGGACCGGAACAACGCTTTTGTCCTGCCGGTGAGTTTCCGTCCTTCTGATTTCTTTATGGCTAATTATCCTCTTGGATCATCTGAATTGGTTTTTCACGCTCACTGTTCTACCTGCACTCGCAGCATTTGTTGAATACATTGATAAATTAAACTCTGATGCGTTCCTCCTCTAGGAGTTTACGAATACGTGGAGACTGAGGATGGAAGACAACTGCACATCAACGCTCAAAATTGTATACACTGCAAAACTTGCGACATCAAAGATCCGACTCAGAATATCAATTGGGTTGTACCGCAAGGAGGAGAAGGGCCTGCCTACACCGGAATGTAATCTAATTGCCGAACACTTTCTGACCGCTTCTGTTCCTACTTTTCTTTCTCTTCGTCCCATCATTGGCTTACGCCTTTCATGAATTGCCTCAGGGTTCATGCATGATTATTATATTTATTATTATTTTCTTTTTGATAATAAATTTCGAAGTACAATACCTTTCTATCTTTCTCTTCCGATTTGTTTGCGTTAACGACTGAACGTAAATGTCGTTTTGTTTTTATGATTTCTATTTTACCACAATTATAAGCTGTACACATTCATAGAAGTTGTTTTTCTCACCCCGTATAGAATTCTTCATATAGACTGTCATTTGTACGTATTTTAGGGTGACAGTAATGCCGGGGCGGTGTTAGTCTGTTCCACTACCGCTCATCAGTTTCTCTACTCTTCACGTTGATGTGTGATGACTGGCAAAAGGAGAAAACCTCGTATTATTATTATGTATTTGTATTTGATTAACTGTATTTACGAGAACCGGAACCTTAGCCTTGTTACCTGGCTTATCGACCCACGTAAAACTTCAATAGAATTTAGCTGGACGGTAGTGATACTGCCTACAACCCAAGTTGGATAGCGGTCACAGGGCTTGCACATTGACCCAAATTGTGCCATCGCCGGCGCCTCAAATATTTTGACAACCGCCATCCGAAAGTTGGTGGTGGTTGTTAGAATAAGGCCACCTTNCTCTCTCTCGCCATATATATATATATATATATATATATATATATGTATATATATATATATGTGTGTGTGTGCGTGTGTGTGTGTGCGATATTAAAGTTGGCCTCCCACCGTTCCTTGCAGATACCCCGTTAACAAATGTAATAACACAACACTCTTATCACATACTTCCGTACGGTAAACAGTAGAAAGGCTAACTCCCAGACCATGAGGAAATGTATATATATAATATTTCACACTTGTCTGAGAACAAACTGTGTGCCAAACAAACCATAGTACAATAATCTTTATAAAAAGAAAAATGTTCCATGATTGGCTTGTGGGCTGAGTACTGCCAGGTTGCCCAGTTCACGGCAGGTG